GTCCTTACTAATCCTTTTCCGTCCTTTTACGTCCTTACTAGTCCTTTTCTGTCCTTTTCCGTCCTTTTCTGTCCTTATTAGTCCTTTTCTGTCCTTACTAATCTTTTTCCGTCCTTTTACGTCCTTATTAGTCCTTTTCTGTCCTTACTAGTCCTTTTGTGTCCTTACTAGTCCTTTTATGTCCTGTTACGTCCTTATTAGTCCTTTTGTGTCCTTACTAGTCCTTTTGTGTCCCTACTAATCCTTTTCCGTCCTTTTACGTCCTTATTAGTCCTTTTCTGTCCTTACTAATCCTTTTCTGTCCTTACTAGCCCTTTTGTGTCCTTACTAGTCCTTTTGTGTCCTTTTCCGTCCTTTTGTGTCCTTACTAGTCCTTTTCCGTCCTTTTGTGTCCTTACTAGTCCTTTTTCTGTCCTTTTCCGTCTTTTTATGTCCTTATTAGTCCTTTTGTGTCCTTACTAGTCCTTTTTTCTTTTCCATGTTCAATTGATTTATGTTGCACGACTATATGGTGTGCTAACATGTAGTGCATGCTGGTAGATTACCACATTTTTTTACCCATTTTGCTCCGCTGCGGGCGCTTCTCGCGCGAGAGCTCCGCTTCAAATTATGTATCCAGCTCTTAGCTTTGCTAAAAATAACTGCTTTCCATGACTAAAACCTTCCTCTTATTGCAATATGCTGAACAAACAGAACCTGTCTACACCCTGTGGCTTTTTGTTTTTTGCGAATGGGCGTTTTGTTTATTATATTTTACAAGAACAGACTTTTTCTGTGAGTTGAACCTGGTTTCTCTTGTTCTTTATCTCAACGTTTTGTGAATTCAAGATGTGTATAAATTAAAATACTTCTTTTTTAACAAATTTTCATCAAAACCTGGTATAGAATGAAAGTTAGTTTGCTAGTTGGTTTCTTCGAAAACAAAACGACTACTTGTCCTCGTTTTCTAAAAGTCAAGTTGTCATAGAAAAACTCGAACAAGATAGTGGCGCACTTCCCGAAGTAAAGCAAACCCTGCAGGCATCTTTTCAGTATAATTCGCGAGTGTGAGCTACGATTGATGCTC